CCGAATGGAAGCTCTGGGTTGGCTCTCGGTGGTGACCGACGGGGCGACATGTTCGGTCGAGGTGCGTGTTCACATAGAAGTCCAAAGGCCCTGCCCACCCAGGCCTCCACATCCACTGGGTACCTCCGGATCTCCAAGGGCAGCAGCAGTTCATCATCCAAGCATTCACCCAAAACATCTTGCATGAACCGAAGTACTCGTGCAGGCTGTCGACACTGAACCCGGTGCACCAGCTCCCTACGTGCTCGTCGGCCTTCCCCCGCATCCACAAGTTGTCTGAAGTCTGCCACAAGTTCCTCGAAGTCGCGCCGGGGAATGCCGTCAGCTCTCGGGCTCACATCTTTTTGCAAGTACCTCTGCATCATGACAACCATATCCGCATCGACATCCGTGCCAACCCCTTGAAAGGGCCTTCGCCCGTGCATGGTGCCCACAGAGGCCTCACAGGAAAACCCCGACAGAGCACCTCGGCCCATCATCAGCTCGGCAGCGGTGTCATAGCCAAGCACCAGTCGGGCATCCATGCACCCCATGCCAAGGCCCCAAAGCAGGCCCCAGACCTTCTTGCCGAGGATCAGCTCGTGCATCGTGTAACCGTTGAGCATCACGGGGTACCTCTCCCGCCGATCTCCTTCACATCGTCCTGCATCGAGTACAGGTGGAACAAGCCCAGCAGCGGAGGTCACCGATCTCATCATCCCTGGTGTACCTTTGTCCGAGCTGGCCAGGTCGCCCTCTCCGAAGTCACCCACTGGGCATCGAGGAAGCACCAAGCACTCTTCACCCTGAGCTTCCCAGGTCGCCATCCCCTCACCACAGAAGGCAGTCATCTTCGTCTTGATCGTGTAATGGGAGGGGCCGAGGTCCTTCAGGAACCGCCGATCTTCGCACCCTCCAGCAGGTCCATTTCCCCCACACAGAGGTGCACACATCCAGGCGACATGCAGCCACATGAACTCCAGGAAAGGAAGGCAAAATGCCCTCGTACGTGTATGAAACACGCGAGCACCTAGAAGTTAAGGCGCAAAAGACGAGAGAGTAGCTGCACAGCAAAGCTGAGCCACAGCTGCAATCAGGCGAACCTTCACTCGCAGAGGCAGCACATCTAAGCGCAACGAATTGCTACACCCTCTCACACAAATCACCGTAGAGACCCTCACTGCCAGTCTTGCATCCACCCTTTCACACATATCACCGTAGAGACCCTCACTGCCAGTCCTGTATCCTCGTTTGCCTCCCACTCGCCCACGGTAAATCCATTGCATCCACCCAACCCTGCTCAAGCTGCTTCCACACACCCCTGTTCTGAGCTGAAACCCTCCAATCGCCATGAGCGGCCTTGTGCATGTCTCGTTCCAGGTTGGCGAGCCGAGGGAAGTGCCTTGGGTGTCGGAGCCCATGGGGGTTTCGTTGCTGTTGGTGCCACCATTCCAAGGTACGGAAGGCCTCGAGCTGGGCACTTAAGGGTGGGGAATCCCTGAGAAGACACCTGCACCGATGCCCAGCATAGCGCCACCACCTTCTCAACCAGGTGGTGGACCATCGTTCAGTACCACTGGCATGCAAGGCAGCACGAGCACCCCTGTAAGCTCGAAGACGGAAAGCATCCCACCCCTCGTCAGGCCGTTTCGCGACCCTCATGGTCCAAATGGTAACCTGCAACTGCATGGTGTTGAGTAAACCCATCGCAGGACGGTCTGGCGGAAAAGCTGCAAGCGGCCACAAGGCCGAGTTACCTACCACTGTTGCCAAAGTTCGAAGTCGACCGCGAAGCGAGGTTTTGGAACGAAAGACATGATGGAGCGACCAGAATTTGGACCGTGCTCTCGCCACCAGGGGGGCCACCAATTCCGAAGTGGTCATGTCAACCCTCATAGGCAAACCCATCACCTCCATCTCGGAAACAGCCACCACTTTCTCACCCGAGATCATGATGTGCTTAGGCCCTGTCCAGTGAGGCGAACACACGAGTTGGCACTTGCCACCGTTTAGCTTCAGCCTGAACTCAGACAACACGACCATGAGCTGCCGAACTTTTCGCTCCAAACCCTGAACCCCACGAGACCAGATGATGCAATCATCCATGAAGAGCACATCATGGTGTGGCATTCCTGGAAAGAGCTCACCAAGAGACTGCCACTGAAACCTTTGCGATGCTTCTTCAAGACACACCTCAGCCACCATGGCAAAGAGGGCCGGTGACTCGACTGCACCTTGTTTTATGCCTCTAGTCATCCCCAGCATGGACGTGCCCCAAGGGCATTGGAGCACAGCTTCCCCATCCTGCAGAAGTGCTCTCCAGCACCGCATTTCAGAGCAATCTCCCATCCTAGACTGGAGCTTCCGAAGCAACTGTTCCCTGTCAACGGTGTCGAATGCCTTGGCGATGTCCAACTTAACCAGACATGCTCCTGCATGCCATTTGCGCTCCAGCATAAGAACCCTCCAGACCGAATACAGAAAATCGGAACTCTGCCTGCCCACTCCGGCGCACTGCGAGTGGGTACGTGCCCTAACGAAGGGGAGAGTGCGATTCAGAAGCATACGAGAAAACAACTTGCCCGCAGCGCTACCCATGGATATCGGTCTAAGGTGCTTGGCTTCCGTGGGCGTGCCCACCTTTGCAAGGATGACCATGAGGGGGACGTTCCAGTCCCGAGGGACCTCATGAGTCACCAGGGTCCGGGTCATGAACTCAAGGAGATGCTCTGCCCCACCAGGCAGGTCAGCAAGAGCCTTCAACAGCTCAGCTGAGGTGCCATCTACCCCAACCGATTTCCCTGACTTCATCTGACCAAGTGCGTCGCGAAGCTCTTGCATGTCAAAACCCTTTGTAGACCCTGGGTAGACACCCTCGTTCGGCCGAACACCATCCCCACTGTACACATGCTCGAGATGATCATGCAGCACCGTGTGAGGGTCGCCCTTCTGTGCCTCGGCAAAGCCATGCTCCCACCCTGTTTGTTTTTGCTTGCACCCTCGAAGCTCTCCCCAATCGCCCTGGCTAGCCCTGGCAAGTCTCTCGGCTTCCCACTTCTTCCTGGCACTTTTGCGGAGGCCCCGAACTTGAGTCCAAGCATCCTTAGACTTGAGGAGCCTGGCTCGCTGAACAGCAGCCTTGACATCCGGCGGGTCCCTGTAACTGCGACCTGGCACAACCCTGGTACACTTCATCGCCAGGTCTTCAACCTTGTCGACTCCCCCACACCACACCCTTGGCTTCGTGGAGAAACGACTGATGGATGACCCTTTCCGAATGACCAGGTTCCCTTCCAAAAGCTCGTGATCTGTCCCCAGCACAATGTGAGAGTCAACATGCACATAGAGACTGGCACCTGCAATCCCTGACACCGACATGTAGTCAATGATGTGCCCTCGCCGTCCTACTTGCCGGGGCCTACTCGTGGGAACACCGAACTGCTCCTCAGCGGGGGGAATCACCTGTAGATGCTTGCACTTCAGCTGATCCAAGACCCCATTCGCCTTGCCATCCAACCCCACTGCCATCACTTGTTCTTCTTGCAACGACCACCTGATCCCAGCATTTGCATCGCATTGGCACACCACCGACTTGGCTCCCTTAGGCATGCCCCGTAGAAACTCAGACATTTCCTGCTCCGATTGCGAGTGTGTCGCTCCGGGTGTGAGGTGCACCGATCCGACCCACACAAGCGACCCAAACTTCATGTGCTTGAGCTGTACCCAAACTCCCCTTCCTGACGCCACCCTCCTCGCCACCGACCACACCTCAGACTTGAAGGCAACACCAGCACCACGCCATGCCTTATCGGATCTGTGCGAAAGTATCTGGAGGGATCCCTGCTTTTCCGTCGCCCATCCAACCCCGGCACGGGGGAGCTCCTGCAGTGCAGGAACAGCGTCCGGAGCCAGGGGCCGTCGGGTAGCATTCTGGATCGCCGAGGCAAGGTCTGAGATGTCACAACCACCAACGTTCCATCCGAAAAGACTGAAGTGAAAACCATTCTCCACGGCCCCTGAGGAGCTCGAAGTCGCCCCTCCTCCATCTGTGCAATCACTGCTCCCGCGGTTTAACCGGGGGGCCTCGCTTGCTTGCACACCAGCGCCTGGCATCTTACCGGCACAACGAATTGCCCCAACCCTAGGTAGGCCAGCCATCTCCCTAAGGAAAGCCAGCTGGTCCTTCTCCGACAGCCCTGCGGCATCCACTCAGCGACGACACTGCTCGATCATCTCCCTGACTTTCTTTGGCGGCTTGGAGACAAGCTTGGCCAGCAACCCCACATCAATCCACTTCTTGAACGGTGCCTCGCCAACCTCGTCAATTCCCTTGTGGTCATGCTTCGGGGGAATGGGAAGATTAGCCGAACACAGCATACCATCTGGACCCCACGCAGTCCCCGTCTTGTACTCAAAATCCAAGCTGTTCTGTGCAATGTCGGCATCAAACTCGGCGACCACACGTTTGATCAAGGATGCATGTGCAGCCACTGCCCTCTCTTCCGGTGTCTTGCTGAAGCTACACCATAATTTGGTCCCCGCTCCACTCACCACTTGGTTCGAGGCAAAGGCTGATACCACCTTGAACATTCTCGCCCTCTTATCAGCATCGGGTTCGTTAGGACGAGCCGTCATAGGTAGCAAAGCCAGTGATCGCCTTGGTCCCGTGCAAAACGCATCCTGATCAATGTCCCCCCCGAGGTTCAAGGTACGGATCGCTTCATTCAACTCCTTCAAGATAGTCTGGCGCCTGCTATCCCGGGGCCACCCTCCAATCACCAGGGTAGAGCGCCGACGACCCTCATCCACACCTGGGGGCGCACGCCCTCCAGAGCCCCCGGCCTTGACCGTGTCGGCCAGCTCCTGCAAAGCACTTTCCCAACTGGGTCACTTTGCCTTCAAGAGCCACGTTTTGCCCCGCAAGCGAGGCAACCTGCTCCTCGACTTGGCAAACTCTGGACTCGACCTTAGCTTCCATCTCCTGAACCGCTTTGTTAAGCTGGGACTGCTGAGCAGAGAGAAGCTCCTTGCTCTGCTCCACCAGCAACCCTCTGATCTTCGCAACATCAAGCGTCACAGTGTCACTGAGGCTCTTCTCTTTCTTCGGACTCGGCTCCCCGGACCTATTGGCAGACTGCCCCCCTCGCTTCCGAGTAGGAGACACGACATCCACCTCGCTCTCTTCCAGATCCAGGTCCCCCTTGGGCACCGGAACCCCTGCCCCGCGGGCCCCCAAGAGAATGGGCTGGTTGTTCATCTCGCGACGATCTCGGGCAGAAACAGGTAATTCAGAGAGACGTCGGGGAACACAACCCGCACACCGAGCCCGACTTCCGGAGAATCGACGACAGGAAGCGGAAGACGGAGACAGCGGAAACCCAAACACTACCCTCCGGGCCTGGAGCCTTGAGCCTTTAACTAGTTTAGGGTTTAGGGTCTAGGGGTTGAGGGTTTAGGGAACAGGGTTGAGGGTCTAGGGTTTAGGGTTCAGGGTTTAGGGCTTAGGGTTTGGGGTTTAGGGCTTAGGGTTTAGGGTTTAGGGTTGGGCATACGACGCCTACCGAAAACCCTCGGGAAGACAGCACCCTTATACTGTTGATGATGTAAATCCTTGGCATTACCTTGTAAGGACCCTAACCTATGGGAAATATGGTCTATTCCCTCTTATGGGTAATGCAGGATTTATATCATGAACCGTATCACCCGAAAGAAGCCTTGTAGAACGCTTCAGAAAACCTTTCTCGAGGCCTTTACCCCTTCGATCTCAAAAAACACTGGTTTGAGGTTTAGGGTTTAGGGTCATCATGAAAACATGTGCGGATGGTTGGGGCTTGGGGCCATCATTAGGGGATTTGTTGTTTGGCTCTGCTGAACTAATCCGCCCGGAACCCTTCTTCGGCAATGTAGGGGCCTTAATAATTAGAATAGGGTTTCGGGGGTTCCTTACTATAACTATGGTATAATAAACCCCCAAACCCTCTTCTAATTCTTACATCATGTGAAGGATCCCTTAAGTTGAATTTTGATCCCTCGCATGATTTAAAGCATCGGTCTACTCAGGCGGATTTGGGGGCATCCTCTGTGAGCCAAAAATACCGCAGGAAGTCCCGGCTTCAAGACTTCCAAAGCCTCCAAAGGGTCCTTTGGGGCAGGCTTATAGGGTTTAGGGCTTATAGGGTTTAGGGCTTTTAGGGTTTAGGGCTTTTAGGGTTTAGGGCTTTTAGGGTTTAGGGTGTCCTAGGCTCTGAGGGGCCCTTTGGCTAAGGATCCCCTGGCGTCCAGAGAGTTCTTGCTACGGCTTGCTCGAAGCCTGACACGGGGCGTAGCTGCACTGAGACCCTTAACCTAAACTCTCAACCCTATAAAGCCTAAAACCTACAGATCCTATAAACCCTATAAACCCTATAAGCCCTATAAGCCCGAGAAACCCTAGAAACCCTAAACTTCCTAAACCCTTATTCAGGATCCAGGTCTGGAAGTTGATCTGCAGAAGAGGCACAAAGGGGCCGAGGTCGAACCAATCGAAGTTGATCGGCATCCGGTTGGATCAGATCTCTCTCACGCTGTTTAGGGTGCAGATGGGTGCAGGGTTGGGGTTCTAGGGCTCATGAGTTGGGGTTTAGGGCACAACCTCAACTGCACGGGAGCTTACCACTTACTTCTCTCTGAGCTCGCCGTCTCTTGCGGCTCTTCATGAGACCTGCTGCAGTTAGGTGCTTCAGAGACAGTCGGTGATTGTTTTGGGTGCTAGGGTTTCATACGACGAACGGTTAAGAATCTAGAATCTAAGAAGTTTGGCTTGCAGCTTGGCAGCTGCTGGCGTAGTTTGATGGCTGCGAGGTCCGTGCCCTCGTGTGCCTACACTATCTGGATGTGTCCGTGGTGCATCAGCTTTGTTTGAGCCAGATGCTGCAACGATGCGAGTGCTGTGAGCACCCGAACTGTTCCCTTTCAACCCTGACGGATGCAGAAAATTAGCAAGAGTCGAATGCTTCAGCTTATCTTTCCTGTGAAAGGTCAGGGGTGAGATGCATTGCGAATAGGGAAGGTTTGGCGAGTCAGGGCGCAAGGGCGGATGTTGCAGCGTGGGCCCCCTATGCATGACACAGCCGCTCAAGTTTCTACTTGCCTGCTCTTGGCGGAAGCAAGCCCTAAGCCCCCAGGTACGTACTATGTAGGGTA